AAAGTGTTTTTTATTTCTTGTGTTCATTCGTGAGACTCGACTATAAATCACTTTTATTAAACTTCAACGAACTGAGTTAAAAAATATGTACACAAAGACTCAATTACGTTATTTGATTTTACGTAATTGTTATGTGTGTTTGGAAAAAAAAAATTAACTAATATGCAATTAACATCGAAAGAATTTTCACATTTTACTTTGTAAATTCAAAATTCTCTTAATGGTTTCTTTAAAGTTAATTGTATGCTAATGTTAATTTTCACTTTAATAAACGTGGACAATTACTAAAGGAAAAATACAAGTTCATTAATTATTAAAGAAATTTTTTCTTATCGTACTAAAAACAAATATAAAAATATATATATTGTATTAACCTATTTACCTGCAGTTGTTTTATTGAGTCTTTAATGGAACTCACTAATAAAACTAAATCTAACTACTCCATTAAAGTAATTAAATACATGATTGCAAGTCAAAATTATGTTTTCTTAGTTTAGATACTCGAGTTTTCTTTGAATAATATAGGAACCAATTAGTTAACTGCTTGTTACAATTCAAAACAAATAATTACATAAATTGAGCCACTGCGTGTTTTAAATTTTGAATTCAAAGACTTCAATCTGGTTAAGCAGTTCTTTCAATTTACATTATGATATCGACAATTTTTTTTTTCCGAAGAAGGCAAGGTCAATTTCATTAGAACCAAATGGTTGGTAAAGATATCATGATCTCCACCAATATAACAAGTACTATAGTTTTTGTTTTCCATAAGAACATGTAGTCTAAAGGCAGGCAATTACAACAAGATATTTACAATTGGTATAAATAAAACAAAAGATAATAACTAGAAAAAATTATTCGTATCCACATATATTAACAACTATTTTTTTTTTTTTGTAGATAGTTGGTATCAGGTAATAGGTACCAATGCATAGGTAATTTAGTATTTGTTATTAACTGATCAGATTTGTCCAAATATGTGAGTATCGTTACTCATTAAATAAATGAAATTATATTTTTATTTTTATTAGGTTTAAGTTGTTGTTGAGGTTTTATCCAAAGATGTTTTTTTACTAGTAATATTTCATAAAACATCCTAAATTAATTAAAGATATCTTAGAAAATGTTTGGATTATTGTAATTTATGAGATGCATTATAAACTCTTGCAAGGTTTCCCATCAAACCTATTCATTAGATGGTATAGAAATTGGAGAGATACATAAATACTATTGCGCTTCCCCTATCAAACTCATTCATTACATGACATAAGAATTGGAAAGTCACACGTTCAACATATTTCGTGTTTACATATAGCTGTATGTGACCTTTGCATTTTGTTTTCAAAAGGAGGTTGTTGGTTAATAGTTCTAATGTTATAACCAATTTATTTTCTCCTTCAAAATTCTACCCTTTAGTTCCTATAACTTGTTTTGATTTTTTGTGAAATAATTATTTTAAAGACTTTATTATAATTTTTGTTCTTTCTATTATCTTCATTTCTTGCGATTTAATTTGAATCTCATTTGAAAATTTATAAAATAATTTTTTTAAATATTTACGGATGTTGGTTGAAAAAGATAATTGAATTTTTTTAAGCAAATATCCAGCTAGTAATAAAATGGATAAGAGATACAAATTTTTCATACATGTTAAATAGCAAATAGATATTATCCGTATTCGGATCCAATCCATTGTTATCTTTAATAGTAACAAATTTATGTTTTTTTTAACTTTAAAGTTTTGTTATATCTGAAAAAGTTAGTTTTATTTGTTGAATGATATCGCTAAAAATTTCCATTTAGCAAATTTAGACAAATTGTTTTGGAACTTAAATGATATGAATGGATCTTTAGATCTATAGGAGAGAAAAGAGTATATATAGATATACCACAATGTTACTTATCAATGTTTTTTATTTAGTAATTTTTATAACTAATATTTTTAAATTATACCCATTTTACAATACCATTAAAGGTTTGTGAAATCTTTAACGATGTAAAAACGGTTGGGAATCCAATTGTGAGTCTAAGTCGCACATTGGATAAAAATGAGAAAGTAGAGCATTAAGATTTTTGGTAGAGAGTGATGTCAATCATTTATGTGGTTGAGCTCATATGTCATTGATGTTTGTCTCCCCGGTAAACCTCCTCCTTGTTATACCTAAGAGTGGTATCAGAGCCGATGGTTGGTTGGAAATGTTTCCAATGGAGGAGGAGTATGCCTATATTGAAGGAATTCACCCTAGAGTGGTGTCAATCTCTTACGTGATCAAACATGAAATATTTGATCGAGTTGATTAAATTATAATATAAATTGCATTCTAATTATGAAGTTAGTCATTTAATGGACGAAAATATAGATAAAATATTTTAATAACTATAAAGCTAATATTCTTAATTTTTACAGCCATGATTGCAAGACTATGAATGGATTGGCTTAAGTTTTACTCAACACGAAGTCATTAATAATTGGTGCGAAAGAGATAAAAAACGGAAAGGAAATACAGTGAATGAAGAAAATAAAGATGGAAACAAAAAGCAGTCAATTATCTGAATACATATTATACATAATGAACAAAAATTGAGGCATTATTTAACACAAAATACCGTCCTTACCCTTCTTTATCTTCCCTGTAAAGACGAATAAGACATTACAACTTATAATACTTGTAAAGTCTATTGTTAACAACCACATGTGTTGCTTTAGGTCAAATTATCTCATCCACTTTTCACCACTGTTAACAACGTCCTCTATTATTCATTCAATTTTATCTTGCTAACTAAATCGATAATAAACATGATTAATATTTTTGAAATTTCATCGATTAAAGACAAAATTTATTTATAATACATAAATGAATATATTTATATAAATTATAAATAAATTATATAAAATTAAATTAAATTTAAAATTTATTTCTTAACGTAATATTATTATTGGTTGAATTTATTATTTCGTTTATTATCATACCACTGTCAAACTTGATATATAGATTTACGTTTAATATATATATATAAAAGCATAATGAGATATAATTTGCAATTAGAACTAAACGTAAATTTTATTTTACAAGTTAATTTTTTAAAATGAAATTAGAATTAAATAGTAATAAAGTAAAATAAGATATCATCGTCTTAATTCTTCCTCGTTAACATAAGGGTTAGCAGTGGATTCAGTTGTGCTGTGAAGAATGAAAGAAATATAATTATTAATATAAATTAAATAAAAACTACTCATGTAGAAAGAAAAAATAACTTGTTATGACTTTTGAACGAGACAAATTAAAGAGTCCATATATCATAAAAAAACTAATTAAGAAGAAGTCATACTATAATATCTTGGGCTTAATGAAAAGTAAAAGAAGAAACAAAAACATGAATCATTAGTAACTTCAGGAATCAACAATTAATTTGAAGATGGATCAACTCAAGTTGTCTTCTTCTTTGTTTTTTTCCAGGTTAATTAGCTTCTAATTATCTTTTAAAAATGGGGAGAGTGAGAGCGCCATCCTAATCTCATCGTATAAAATTTTAACTTCATCCTTTAATATTCTTTGGACATGATGAATTTGAAAAGGAGTAAATAAATGAATTTGAATAAATAATGTATTATTTCTTTTAAGAAATTTAGAATTAAAGTGAATGAATTTTAAATAAAATTTATAAAAGTTTGTGAGAAATTTGATTGATTTAATAGATAAAAAAATTTAATAGATAGAAAAGAAAAATTATAAATTTGTCTTTAATATTAAAAATAATATAAAATAATTTTTTGGACGAGTTAAAAGAATGTTTTTAAAAATTTGTTATTCATTAATTTTGAAAAAAAAGTAATAAATAAAGAATAAAATTTATTTAGTATCAAAAATTAAATATTTTGGATATAAAGTTTGATGACATGTTTTATTCATTTTTGCTTTAATAATAATTGTAAAAGTAATGTTTGTTTTAATCTAAAAGTTATTATTATTAAACATTATTAATGATTATTGTTTGATTAATTTAAATAAAATTGTGAAAAATAATAAGCACAATATATATTTTATAAAACTATAAAGACTGTAGTAATGATAAGAGCATTTGTTATGAAGAAAGAAAGTTATAAAAACCATTTGTTTTGTGGAAAATGGAGTCCAAGGTTTGCATGTGCTATCGAAAACAGACAAATGAATTGAAATAACGGTACCCCCGAAGATGGCTTTGCGCAGGAAAAAGAGAAAATTATGTTCTTTGATAATTATTATAATAAATTGAATTTTTCTTAAAATATAGATATGTATTTAGTAAATAATTGTAACGACTTTACTTTAATGAATAGGCATGAAACAATGAGAGACTTTATAAAGCAGAGTTTAGGGTTAAAAGCTATTTCTCATCCTATAATCGGTTCTAGTAAGAACAAAACTGATTCTCACGTATCTCAGAATCGATTCTCTTTTCTTTTATTTTGTCACGAAATCGGTTCTTTTTCCTTTTATTTTGTTATAGAATCGTAAGAACATAACTGATTCTTTTGTTTTTTCAAGCGAGATCGAAGGTCGTGAGAATTTTAAATATTTCTAACGGGTCACGATTCAGTACATCTTCTACAATCCTACCAAAAAATACCTATTATTGTTATAATATTTAGCAAAACTTACATTAAAAACGCATACAATATCTCTAGTTTTTAATTAAATGTTTCTCATTACGGGACGTTATTTTAATTTTTCTTCTCATAATAATCACATTCTTTTAACAATTATCATAACTTTTAAAAATAACTAACAGTTCAAAAAATAAAAAATTAATTTAATTAAGATTTAAGTTGCGGTTAAATGTGGGTATTTTTAATTAAATTTATGTTAAATATGTTTGGTATACTAAAGTATTAAAAAGTTATGTTAAATTATGATGAATGAATGGAGTATTGGGTTGTTGGTTTCACCTAATAGAAGAGGAGAAAGAAGAGAAGTGAAGGGCATGCATGGAGATGGAGATGGTAAAAAATACAAAATTTGGTTGACTCGGGATTCGTTCCTTATACGCTCCACCAAACCCAAAACAAGAGGACACGTAGTCGCATGGACCCATGCTCCGTTTTTCTTTCTCTTCTCTCCATCCCACACTTCATTTCCATGCAATGCATCCAACTCTCCAAACACCAACTCTATATATACTAAACCCAACCTATCTAGCTCCTGTTACTTTTCATTCACACAATTCCTCAAACACCTTGCAACAACATGCAACTCCGGATACAACACTGCTAAACACCAATGGCTTCCACCATCGCTCCCGCAATGCCTTCCACCTCCACCGACCCCGACCCCGACGCTGCCGTCAGGGCGGTTAGGAAACGCTACGAGGGCCTTCTCACAGTGCGCACGCGCGCGATCAAAGGCAAAGGCGCGTGGTACTGGGCCCATCTCGAGCCCACTCTCCTCGGCAACGCGGTCAAGCTCAAGTGCTCCCTCTGCGACTCTCTCTTCTCCGCTTCTAACCCTTCTCGAACCGCTTCCGAGCATCTCAAGCGTGGTACGTGTCCCAATTTCAACCACTCCTCCTTGCCTTCACCGTCTCCTATTTCTACCGTGCTCTCCCATTCCAACAACGGCAGAAAGAGAACCTCCTCCTCAGCCTCTCCGAATCAGGACCGCTCCGTTCAGCATTTGATGTTGTCTGGAGGGAAAGATGATTTGTGTGCTCTCGCTGTTTTCGAGGACAGTGTGAAGAAGCTCAAGAGTCCTAGGAATTTGTCGCATGTTGCTCCTCCTGAGTTGACCCAGGACCAGGTTAACTCCGCTGTTGAATTACTGGCAGATTGGTTCTACGAGTCTTGTGGTTCTGTGCCTCTCTCTTCTCTTGAACACCCCAAGTTTCAGTCCTTTCTCACCCAGCTTGGTTTGCCGGTGACTCTGTTGAGACGCGAGATATATTGTTCTAGGCTCGAGGATAGGTTCGGGGCGGTCAAGGCCGAGTCCGAAGCTAGAATCCGAGACGCACTGTTTTTTCAAGTGGGGTGTGATGGTTGGAAGGGCGAGGATGGTGTGGCGAAGTTCATAGTGAACCTTCCGAATGGGACTAGCGTGTTCCACAAGGTGGTGCTTGGTGGGGAGGTGGTGTCGTCTAAGTATGCTGAGGAGATTTTGTGGGAGGTGGTGAAGGGTGTTTGTGGAAGTGATGTGCAGAGATGTGTTGGGATTGTTGCCGACAGGTTTAAGGGTAAGGCGTTGAGGAACTTGGAGGTTCAGAACCATTGGATGGTGAACGTTGCTTGTCAGGTTCAGGGGTTCACGGGTTTGATCAAGGATTTTAGCAACAACTTACCACTTTTCAGGGTTGTCACTGAAAATTCACTCAAGGTTGCTAATTTTATCAACACTGAGTCTCAAGTTAGGGGTAGTTTCCTAAGGTACCGAATGCAGGAACTGGAATGTGCTGGGCTGGTTCGGGTTCCCTCTCCAAAATGTGACGTGTTGAAGGACTTTACGTCTGTGTTTCCGATGCTGGAGGACATCCTGAGATGTGCTGCCGTGATCCAAATGGTGGTGATGGAGGACGCGTTTAAGGTGGCTTGTATGGAGGACCCACTGGCCAGAGAGATTGCCGGGATTGTTCAGAGTGAGGGATTCTGGAATGAACTGGAGGCGGTTTATTCGCTGGTGAAGCTCATCAGAGGAGTGGTTCAGGACATTGAGGCTGAGAGGCCGTTGGTTGGTCGGTGTTTGCCTCTCTGGGAGGAGGTTAGAACCAAGGTGAAGGAGTGGTGTGTTAAGTACAGTATTGTGGTTGAACCCGTAGAGGAAATACTCGAAAATCGATTTAGGAAGAATTATCACCCTGCATGGTCAGCTGCATTTATACTTGATCCTCTTTACTTGATTAAAGATGCGTGTGGAAAGTACCTTCCTCCGTTCAAGTGCTTAACTCGTGAACAAGAGAAAGATGTCGATAAGTTATTGACGAGGCTGGCTTCACGAGAAGAAGCTCATGTGGTGTTGATGGAGCTCATGAAGTGGAGATCAGAAGGGCTTGACCCTCTTTATGCACAGGCTGTGCAGATGAAACAACAAGACCCCATTACAGGGAAGATGAAGGTAGCAAATCCACTTAGCAGTAGACTTGTTTGGGAAACTTGCCTCAGCGAATTTAAATCCTTACGGAAGCTTGCAGTGAGGCTCATTTTTCTGCATGCAACCTCATGTGGGTTTAAGAGTAATTATTCTTTCATCAGGAAGCTTTCTGCTCAGAAGCACTCGAGAATTTCCTTGGAAAGAGCTCAGAAAATGATATATGTTGCAGCTCATGCCAAGCTTGAAAGACGAGATTTTTCCAATGAGGAAGAGAAAGAGGCAGAACTGCTTGCCATGGAAAGCAGTGATGATGGCATGCTGGCTGTAGTCTTTGCCGATACACCCCTAATGTAATGTGCCTCTTTTCAACTCTGTAGAATTCTGTAATTTTAGGATTTTCAGATTTTTTTTTTTCCAGAGCTGTTCTACCATTCCCTTATTCCAAGTGAAATATTTCGTGATTTGTGAGAGAAACAAAAACAGATATTGGAAGAGACGTGACTGTTATGTCATCTTTGATTCAAATGAATCATCAGTATTTTTTCCATCTTTTACTTGGGTTTCGTAGGCTTTTAGAGCAACAATTGCTAATTTATTAGCATAACTACAACTCAGGAAGTATGCTACAAGCGTCTGCTTGAATAATTTGTAATGGGAATTGTTTTGAGCCACATTCTCAAATTAATTTATACTTTATAATAACGTGAAAAACTAAGCTACATTACATCTTGTGAATGAATTTATAAAATTGGTCACAGTTAACTAAGTTCAAACTTAGTTTCTGCCCCGTCCGTGAATATCGAAGTACTAATTGCCAGAAATATTCACCAAGACATGCATTAGGCCTATTCCACAACTTGTTCTTTTATTTCACTTTGGGTAGATCAAATGCTAGCTGCAAGCTCTGTAAATGCCTATGGTATCAGTTGAAATATTGACCACAGTCTCAGCATCTTTCTGGACTGATTATTATCGTTAAATTTCTGTGGCTCGTGTTTATCTGTTAAAATTGATATGATGTTGATACCAAACAAGCGCTGAAGCAAGTTACTTATAAATTTAAAGCAAACTGAATTGATGTTTAATATTAAAAAACATAACGAACAACAGTGGGAAATATTGTGGGTGGAGCAATTTACTCCTTTTGTGTTAAAAGACTATAGATCTGTGGAAAGAGCTTTTAACTTAACGTCCTCACTTGAAAGTGGAAAAAGGTATCCTACAATAGTCAATGACTTTTGTATATGCATCTAATTGATGCTTCATGTCTTGATATGACATAACACCATGCATTGTGTAGATTCTGCTTGTCATGATCAATTGCTTAAGTAGAACAAGATGAAATATCTTACAGTTTGACCAACTGACTTCTATCACATCCAAAGGCCACACTGTTCACGTTTAGTTTCAGAATTCAGTTGACCAAAAGGTCCAACTGTTTTGACAAAATTGCTCGATATAGGAGTTTGAGTTCTCTACCAAAAAGAGTTTATTCGTGTTGCTCAAGTTCAAAACTACCTCAACATTCACGCACTAGCTAATTAGAGATACCTCAAAAGTTTTGCTTGACAAAGAAGGTCATCATATATCAAGCAATTATTCATATTTTGTTCTATACTAGAAATATCGTGTTCTTATCATCAGACAGTATTCAGTAAATCACTTGTCTTTAAGTTTGACACCACAAGTCAACAGATATTAAGAACAAAAAACAGTGTGAGCCAGTAACAAAGCATAAGTCCATTTTCAAGAAATTTCCAACTTCCATGTGCAAGAATTTCTGAACAATATTTGTTATCACTTGGTTTCCCTCTTTCTTAGAAGAATGTTGATACACGTGGTTGCTTCGCTATTGTGAAGTGGAAACCTATCGCAGGCCAGTTTTTGGCCTCACCTCCAAAAGTTGATTCAAGTATAGGATTCTTCTGTTTCCAACAAGCTCACAATACCAACCATCCCCTTCTAATTTCTTTTGAACTCCTGAAAAGAAAAACATAGCTGCAGATAAATCTAAAAGACAAAAGATACTCCATATCTATAGGAATAATCCTAGTAATATTCAATCATAACTACATCTATATGTCCTCTATTTGAAAGATAAAAGAAAAACACTGCTTAATTAAGAATTTTTTTTAATAAGAAATGCTCTAAAGACCACATCCATCAAGAAAACTGTTGACATTCATAATATTCACGTCAATAGGGAAACAGGTCTCACAGAATATATGGTTTACATATGCCCTAATGGTTAGATAAAGTTTTCATGTTGATGGTAACTACAAAATGACACAAAAGTAGCAGGCCCCCAAAATTTAAATGTTACTTCTTTTTTTGCTGCAGAGGTGGCATTGCTTGAAGCAGTAGGGTGGGTAGCAAACCGGACTTGGTCGCGACGTGGGTCAACCTCGGAAGAACATGAAAAGGAATCTTTGTGGCCGCAGAAGCACTTCTCATAGATAATCCTGCATATCTACTGGAGTGTTTGTCTGACAAATGGTGAGGCCCACCATGGTGGAAGTGGCTGTCCATGTCACTGCTTTGGTTGTCATGGTCAAAGAAAAGTGAGGTATGAGTGGCCTTCCTTTACATCAATCCACTCTCTGTTTCTGTGTGTTTTTCTTGTTGTTTTGGCTTAAGCTAATGTCCCACAGCTCTTGTTATGAAAACCATCTTTTGTGATAATATAAGCTTTTCAAATGAGGGCCTGTTGTTAACTGTTTATCTTAACGTTGAAAATTGTAGGTTTGCGGAATGAACCGTTTGGCTTACCATGATTGCTAAAAAGTTTGGGAGAAAGTTAAAACAAGGAGTATAGGGAAAGAAAATCAAAGTGAAAGCAAGGAGGCCTGTCGGCATAAGGAGGTGCATAATATGGGTCAGGGGATAATATTTCAATAAGCTGCATAAGAAAAGCATTTTTTGCATGTACGTTCAGGGGATTATTCTAATTTTTAACCATGGCAGTTCTAGAGTTGGTGGTGATGACATCTCAGATCACTCTTTACCCTTATTGTCGTAGTCATATCATACGTACATGAGTTCCTTTTTAGTGTCATACTTTTGCAGACCTGAGAAATTGATGTAAAGATTATTCTGACATATGACACACACTATCAATTTAATGCATGCATTCCTCAATCTTTTTGTCAATTATTAAATAAATTCTTTACCATATTGTGGATGGGAATGGCTGTGCTGGTCCGTCCATCCATGCATACAAGACTTTCAGAAATATGCAGTGCACGTTGTTTAAATCCATAAAATAAAGAATTCGGTTCGCAACCTCTGTTAGAACCACGCCAATTTATCTTCAACGTTTAAGAGCTTATTTCCTACATCATCTGCACTGTTACCTGATGTTGTGTATAAAATATCGACAAGTGCATGTTAGAATTTCTCCTCTGACTTCAAGGTTGTAATTTACTGCGCCTCCTTAAATCACTGGCAAATATTCAAGAAGTATCTAAATGAAAAAGTTACCTAAGCAGAATGAACTTATCAGCAGAGTTTAGTACAGTAGAATACTGTATTGTTGATTTGATAATTGATTTAACGTTGTAATTAATTTGGTGTAGACGCAGTAGCTCATGTCGGCAAAGGCAAGCAACTCTGACTGCTTACCAACTCATAGGTATTTGTGTTTTTATTATTTTATATAAAAAAATTCTTTTATTTTGGCCAGTTCTTAATATTCCGTTGCTTGTGTGGTATAATTTCAGTTTTTCATTCCGGTCTGGTTCTTGTATTAGAGAGCAGAATGTGATGATTGACACAGGAACACAGGAACATCTTTTTGTAATAGTCTTCTCACTTTCACGTTCCCTCATGATTAATCTTCTTTTTCAATACCTCTTTTTCTCCCTCTTATTGACACAATTCCTGTTTGAAATTTGGGTATGGTGATAGGTAGGCCAATCTTTTATAAAGAGAATCAAAGTTTAAATCTTGCATAAGGTAATTGTTGGGGAGGCTGCCCCTGGTCGCGGCAGTGCCTGAAGGGTTACTTAAACTTGTAAGAAATATACCTTGGTAAAGAGAATGTTGCAGAAACGGAGAAACATATGTGTATTCTACAATTTCTGTGGTATGTTGTGTAGCATTGACACCTAAACATTCTACTGTTATTGTTTTTAACCAAAACTCTTCATTAACAATGACAGAAAGAGGTTTTTCTTTATCATGTTTCTGGTTATCATGGAAGTGATCAGGAATAAGGTTAAGTAACCATGGAAACCATCTGAAACACGCACGTTGTTCTAAAGATGCAAGTGTAGGGTTTTGGACACACTTGATATTCTTGTTTGGGATTATATTTCTAATTCCAGTGCAACTTCTGTTTTAATTTTTTTCTATTTTAATTATTTCAAAAATTTTAAAAATGAAAGACAATCAAATATTAATCAAGTGGTATTTTATAATATGCTAAAAATAAGAGAATTTAAGTTTTAAATATGAATAAATATTTTTATTAACCATAGTCACTAAATTATAAATTATTTTATAAAATTTGAAAAACTATATTTTTGAGAAATATTGTTTTAATATAAAAAAGTATATATACATCTATAAAATTTATGATTAGATTTATTAATTTATTATTATTATTGTGTATATATATATATATATATGATTTTAATAATAGTGTAAATATAAATAAATAAGAAGTGTGGTTGCTAATAGGATAATGAGCATGTAAACTTGAACCTAAGATTTGGGAAGATTTGAATTAAAAATGTGTTGGGATGACAGTGATTGCATTCCTATAAAATTGTTTACTGTCTATACTTAAAGAATGAAACTCCCCAACCCATGTTGGGTTTCATCCTTCTTCATATTATGCTTAAAAAACAGAGGGGAATGGAGACTCTTTATTACACACCACCAAACAGCTATTAGAGAGAGAGGTGAATGGAGTGTAATAAAAATTTGGATTTCTTTAAAATGTAACTCATCAAACAATACCATGCTGTTACAAATTGTTTGAAATGTTTCCTTTGTATTTCTTAAGCTTTAGTACTTGTTTGGTTTCTTATAGCCATCTGAATTTTCCCACATCAAACAATAATTTCCTTTCATATTTTGTGCAAGAGGAAACCATGAGAAAACATGCAAACAAACAGCTACACAGTTGGCAAAGCATTTCTCTCATAATTTTGGTTGAAGAAGAAAAAGAAAGATTCCAATAATAATGCTGCAAATATAGAGTTCAAATGCTTAATTATGCAGACATGACATGCTCTGTTTTTAAATAACCAGACAAGAGAGTTACCTTTATTTTATTATTTTGTTATTTTGTTCGTAACTACTTCAGCTAATTTGGATGTATAGTAGGTTGAGTTTGTTTTAAGGAAAGTTGCTTTTTCTGGGTCTGCTTTGGAGTGGAAACTTTCCACTGTATCTTTTGGCTTTCATACCACACTATTTTCTACTAAACTATTCCAATTCATTTACTGTGAAGAAATGTTATATTATTTCTTAAAGTATCATGCCATTCTAAATGGAGGATACATCTTCGATTGTATGGCTTTGGTTTCAGGTCTCAATCTCTGGTTTGAAAGAGATAAAGTATCAGTTTCAAATAGTGAAACAATGACATATGATATGATGCTATGTTTGGTGGATTGTACCAAATAGAATACTGTGATATAGTAGAAAGGTGTCTGTTTTTCATACTTTGACCAGCTCCTGTTAGTATTATTACTCAAAACATGGTTAATTTAAATTAATTCAATTAATGATTCCTCTTCTCCCTGGCTTAAGCAAATAGTTAAACTGAATATAGATTAGTTTTCCTGTAATTAATGACAGATGAAGAAGTAAATTAAATGATGTAATTATCTGTTATTTGAGTGATTACACTTGCTTTAAGTACAAGGGATTGTGTGAAATTTCTATCACATGGTATGTTACTTTTGCAGTTTCCACTTAACTCCTGACCCTACAAACATTGCCAAGCCAATTTCTCTCTGCATCAAATATCTTTCTTTCTTTTTCTCATCCTCTCTCTCTCTGATTCTCCCACCAATCTTTGCCATAATGGCTCTTGTATAAGTGGTCCCATTTTAATAAAAAAATGTATAGCCATATACTATTTTCTTTGTTACTCATATCATCAAATTTTACATTGATTGCATGAGAGAATGGGTCCAATTTAAGAGTACACACATGATATCACCAATCAACAAGATTTTCAATGCTCAATTAGGTTAAACTACTTTGGGAAAGTGACAAACCGATAATCATTCCCACTTGATAGCTTACTATACCCTCAATCTGAAAGCAATGGATGCAGATCTTTATACTGCATACTTCTTCTTCAAAGATAATGCTCTGTTCCAACTTTTCTTTTTTAAAATAAAGAACGTTCAAGAAAATACATGCTAAGAAGATGAAAAAAAGACATAAATTTCAATTTTTTTTATCATTTTTATTAGTTTAACCTTAACTTCCCGTATATGATTCTTATGTTTGTCTGATCATTTCAAATTTTTATGTTAGTCATCTAAATTCTTCTACTTTTGTCGACATTCCTTTCATAATACCTACTTCAACTCACTTATTTATATATATATATATATATATATATATATATATATATATATTTAATGTGTGAAATGTGTATAAAAATGTGTCAAATGTATTTTTTGGTTAAAGTACATATTCATAGATAACAAAAACGGTTTCAAGTGTAAGGTCAAACAATTTTCAAAAATACACATTCACAGTTTCCTTCTTACGACGCGCTAGGATAAGTGTACATTCATTCTACGTCTTTGTCCTCGCTCCAACTGATCCGGGGTACCTGTTAAAGGTACTCTAATGCTTAACTCAGTAAACAGTCCGTATGAGGTGAGAGCAATAGTCTTAAATACACAGTAAATGCGATCACTTATCTCTTCCATTTGACCTCTATTTATAGTTTTTTAGATAGGCTTAAGATTAGCAAAACTTTAATTACGGCATAATCTCAGCCAATTACACTTAGTTGATATTTACCTTTAACCCTGCTCGTTGATGTCTTTTTTGGGGAATTTGTTATTGATGTCGGTCGTCCGACATATGTTCGTTTTGCACCATCCAGTTCTTTGATTGTTTCGCTTCGCCTATGTCTCGCGCTTTGGGTCGTCCATTCCTTTCTGTTATCTAGGTTTGTTCGATCATATGGTACAAAAATCAAATATTTGGAGATTGTGTTAAATAAATTTTGAAATATTTAAAGTTTTTTTTTTCAAACAAGTTTTATGAATAGTTTGTACTTGAAACTAATATTTTTTTCCTCTATTGTTCACAGTTCATAGTTAATTATAAAAATGTAAAATAAAAGATCAAACTTATCCATCTATATAAATTTTATAAATAAATAGTATCATTTATTATTTAAATGGCGGGTTCTCGTATCAATATTTCACAGCTTTAGATTCTTTTACCCGATTCATTGTAATTGGAAATAAAATTTTCTGAAGCATAAAGTTAGTTTATTTATATCTGTAATCTCAATTTACTTTTCCAATTGTCGAGAAGTTTTATGATAAAGAAAAGAGATAATCACGGATCTTGTTTTACATTGAGAAAATACACTTTCAAGTTTCAAGCATTGACCTATCTAAAGGCCCCACTTAAAGCTCAAATTTGAAGCTTGATTTAAAACATCAAAACTTATCTTAATCAACTTTATATATTATGACATAAAATATGCGATCCAAGACAAGAAAACCTTTTCATTTCGAGCCTCCAAAAACATGTTTTTATTTCACTTGAAAATTCAAGTTTAATTTTAAATTTCACGTTGAATAAACATAAGTTGAACACGATACAATAAATGAGACTCAAAATTATCATTTAAAAAAAATTAAAGTGGTGTCAATAAATTTGAATTGATGTTTTATTAATTTCATCTAATTAATATTTTTTTTCGTATAAGCAACGACCTAATCTTACTATAGCTCGATAGTTATGCTAATTTTTTTTTTAATTTTCCTTCTTTGTTAAATAAATACATAAGCTTGAAACTTAAAACTCTGAAAGATAGAATAGAAAAGAGAGATGAAGAAAGTAAAATTTGACGTAAAACAATGTCGCCCTTTTAGTTGGAACTTAACTTTCAAAAGAGAGGAGAAATTAAGCAGTAATGAAATCT